GTTGCAAGCCACGCACTAAAGGCATTAAGAGACGTCAGAGCAACTGGTTTATGCGGAGAGTGGAGCGATTTGATTCGATTCGATTCGATTTGATTCGGGACGGGGTTTTTTTTTGTGCGCGTGGGAGACTTTTTGAATGGAGAGAGGGGAGGGGGTGCGTGTGGGGGGGGAATTCACCTGCTGAGCAAGATGGTGCCTTGTCTGTGTGCTCTCTGTCTGTTTCTGCCTCTCTCTCTCTCTCTCTGTCTCTCTCTCACTCTGTCTCTCTCTATCTCTGTCTCTCTCACTCTGTCTCTGTCCATATCTCTCTCGGTCTCCTTCGCTGTCTCTCTCTCTCTGTCTCTCTCTTTGGCGACATGATAAGGCTAGTTTTTATTACTTCTTATTGCGGTTTCTGTCAGTCAACGGCACGCGCTGTAGTAATAATAATAATAATAATAACACCAACAATCGTCCGTGCATTGGATCCAGCGCCTTTTCGCGTCGTCGAGACGTCTCAAAGCGCTTCACAGGACACACCGTAAAATGAATTGACCGTACATTTTGTGGGCGAAACACGGCAGCCAATAGCGCACAGCAGCGTCCCCGCGCAGAGTCGTGGATTAAATGACCAAATTATTATTATTATTATTATTATTATTACATTTCTTTTTGAGCAACTCTAGTGAGGGCGAGTCTCCGTGCCTCACACTTGCTGTCGTCGTTAAGTCCGCAGCTATGTTGCTGCCAACAGCGCTGTGGTAAACAAACTGTGGCAACACCACACACATTAACACACTCGTTTTTACACACACACACACACACATACGCGCGCATAAACACTCGACTTAACGCCTCAATCCACCACCCCCTCCCCTCCCTCGGAATCATTGAGCAGTCATCTGTTTCAGCTGTTCCTCTGCATTACCATTAGAATAAAAAACAAATCAGGGATCATTCTGCGGGGCCCCCGAGTGATTGATTAACACTCCTTTTCTGTTTGAATAAGATCAGCCGCCAAAATGCTAATCCCTTGCCCTCGGAGGAGCGTTTAGCAATCACAGTGCGGCGTGCGCTGGCAAACCGGCTCCACCTTCCACCACGCTTCGGGGAGGGGGGGGGAGAGAGAGAGAATGGGGTAGAGAATGGGCAGCTGTACCGAGATTAGCAATATACTGCTTGCCATTGTCCGACGTGTTCAATCGTATCAAATTCACTCCTGTTTACTCAGATTCTTTGACTCGTTCACCCGCCCGGGCTCTGGCTACCAGCTTCTGGTTGCTGCGCACTCCTTTTAAATTTTGTCGCCTGCCTGCGTGAGTAATTAAGCTTTGTAAAAATGTATTCATCTTGAACAACACCCCCCCCCCCCCACCCTCCCTCCCCCCCCACACACACACACACACACACACGCGCACACGCTCGCACTCTTCGCTCCCAACTTTTTATTCCTGTCAAATTGCCGACTCGTTTGTAGGGGACAGTCTCCCCTGGCGTTCGGAGTCCCGTAGCGAAGGGGTTAGCCTCGCGAGCGAGGGGACCCGAGTTCGATTTCCCGGTCGATTGGTGGATCGCTTTCCGGGAGTAATAAGTACTCCAAATAAATTTTAAAACGGTCACTCAATCCACCACTGTTTGCGGGACACTTGCTGTGCGCAATCGGCTGGCGCTTTGCGCCCGCAAAGCACACAGACCATTGACTTTGCAGTCTCAGGGACACGATAAAGTGGCTATGTCAAGCGCAAGATTATGATTATTATTAAGTTACCGTGTCAGCCTGGCTCAGGCGAGGATAGCGCTCTCGCCTCCGGGTCAGAAGGTTGTGGGTTCAAGCCGTGTATTTCTGGAGAAGTTACTGAGCCAAAAGAATACGAGAGTAAGATTAACCTCAGCAACAACAACTTGCATTTATGTAAACGCCCTTCGCGCGGGGTGAGCGTCCCAGAGGACTGGACGGGTCGAAGGGAACGTAGGAACGGGAGGAGGCCATTCAGCCCCTCGAGCCTGTTCTATTCTATCAGATCGTGGCCGATCTGTACCTCGACCCCAGTTCCCTGCCCTTGCCCCATAGCCCTTGATACCCTGGCCTGACAAACACCTATCCATCCACCTGTCTTGAATATTGAATGGATCCGGCGATAATCCGCAGCCTTTTTTGTGGGAGAGAGAGAGAGAGAGAGAGAGAGGTTTCCGAACCTGAAAGCCTCTCACGGTTGTGCTTCCTGCTCTGGCCTTGGTGCTGAACAGGGACGTTGTCTCTGCCGTAGGGAATCCCAAGCTCAGTGTTGGAAATCCAGCAGAACGGCCGCGGAACGCTCTGGTTCTCCCTCTCCGCCCGAGTAGGGTTACTGTTTTGTTGTGTTTATCTGTCGGGGCACAGGGCCACACTCAGCAATCAACACCGACAGGTGACATGTACACCGCGCCCTTCGTGTTGGGAGAATGTCCTAAAGCGCTGGACGGTCAAGGATTTGGGCCCGAGCCGGGAGTGGGGATCAGGAGGGGTAGAGGGCAGGGAGGGTGGAGGTAATAATAATAATAATAATCCTTGCATTTGATATCGCGCTTTTCACGTCGGGAGGACGTCCCAAAGCGCTTCACAGAACACACTGTAAAGTGAATTGACTGTATATTTGTGGGCGAACGCGGCGGCCGATTGCGCACAGCAATGTCCCACAAACAGTCGTAGATTGAAAATGACCAATTTATTATTGTTTTTGGTTTTGGAGGATTATTATTAGGCTCTGTGTGGAGTAAGGAAATTTGCCCAAGGTTTCGCCCTCTGCCTGGAATTGAACTCAGGTCTCTCACTTGCGAAGCGAGTGCTCTAACCACTGAGCTACAGGTAGGAGGGGGGGTGGGGGGGGGCGAAGAGGAGGGTCTTGAGACTTGCCTTGAAGGAGGCAAGGGAGGGGAGAAAGACGGAGGGACTGTGGGATGGTGTTCCAAAGGGATGGAGTACCAGGTGGGGTGGGGGGGGGGGGGGGGGGGGGGCAGAGAGAGATTGACGTCCCGACCGCTGATGTGGGGGACATGGAGCAGACCGGAGCCCCCCTGACCGGACAAGAGAGAGAGTGCGCAAATCCCACTTAACCGCTTTGAAGTTATCCCACACGTCGATCGAATTAGAAGTTAACGATTCAGACTTTGGGACAATCTAAAACATCTGCGTTCATCTTCCCTTCGCCCTGTCTCCCCCACGCACCCCACCCCTCACCCCCGAACTCCCCCTCCCCAACACTTAAGTCCCCTCCGCGGGATCGCGTGGTCACGGCAAACGTCAGGGATTACAGAGTTCCTCCGCCCGTACCGTCTAACAAGCTTTGCTCGCAACGAACCAAAGACTGACTTGACATTCAGGGGCATTCCTGCCCTATAGACTCCACTCATTCAGTTTGTTTAATGCTCCACTCCACCCACCTGATCGCTACACAGAAGCCAAGACTTAATTTCCCCCCCAAATCCTGTTGGATCGGGACGAACCGTCGTCTCAGCATTGTGACCGACTATTGTCGAGTGTCTGACGTGGGAAGCTTTCCAGTGCACTGCCTGCGCTCTCCTGTTAAATATTCTGTCACGGCTCCTCTTTACGGCTTAATGAGTGGTGAAACGCATTGTGTGGCTCGACACTGCACCGTGAAGACGAGCGAACTCCCTCAGGTGTCCGTTTGGCTCGGTCGAGGACGCTCTTTCCCCGCTCTGCCCCCACCCGCCCCGTCAGGACTTGCATTTGATTTAGCGCCTTATCAAGTCGTCGAGACGAGCCCGAGATACAAAGCGCTTTATATTTTATCCTGTGCCTGACACCCACGAAATACACACTTTACCATATGTTCTGTGGAGCGCTTTGAGACTTCTCGGCGGCGCGATAAGTCGCCCTATCAAAAGCGAGGATGATTATTGTTGTTGTTAGTATTATGACGAGCCCGTGCTGGCGTACCCCGAGTTTACTGAGGAGGATTGCTTTCCCCGGTCCTCGCTTCCTAAATAGCAGTCGCGGAACCCTTAAAGGCTGAGAGAAAAGCCATCTCATGTTCGGGCGCAGCTCCCGGCCACCGCCGCGGTTTGTGGGTTTTGCTCGGAGCGACACAGTTGCTTATGCCTCAGCGCGTATCCGATTTCTCCAGTGCACGCGCGGAAATAATTGCGCCGGTAAGATAATGTTCCGCACCAAAGAGCAAAGCTTCGTTACTCTCTCTCTCTCTCTCTCTCTCTCTCCCCCTCCCTTGATGTGTCTCTCTCGTGCGTTTCAGCGTTAACGTTGCGAGCTGCAAAGAGTGATCGCTTTCTTTTTTGACCGGGTGGGGTGGTTTGACCCGGGTTCGATGCCCAGGCGGGGCGAAACGTTGGGCACGTCCCCCTCGCTCCACACGCGCGCGCACACGCGCCTCTGTTTACCGGCAGTAAGAAAGAACCCGGTGGTTACTCGATTGTCGGATCGCTTCCCGGGGTCAATAACACCCCCTCAAACAAAATAACACTCGCGCCTTATCACGTCAAAGCGCTTCACAGAATAATAATAATAATAATCCTTGCATTTGATATAGCGCTTGTCACGTCGGGAGGACGTCCCAAAGCGCTTCACAGAACACACCGTAAAGTGAATTGACTGCATATTTGTGGGTGAACGCGGCAGCCAATTTGCGCACAGCGGCGTCCTCCCCCCCCCCCCACACACCCACACACACACACACACATAGTCGTGGATTGATTCACCAATTTGTTTTTATTTTTAAAAGAGTTTATTGCCCCCCAGAAAAAAAGGCGATCCACCAATCGACTAACAACCCGGGTCCCTACTCGTGGCTCGCGAGGTAAAGAGGCCTGAAAGTTCAGACTAAATCACAACAATTTGCCAAGTTCTTCACACGAGTCGCTGCAAAAATGGAGTCAATCAAGACGCTGGTGGAGTTTTCTTCCCCCCCCCCCCACCACCACCACCACCACCACTCCCCCCGCCACGTGACTCACTTTTTCAGTGTCGTTCTCTCTGCTGACGGGATCTGGAATCTCTTTTGCAGATCCACCCGTTGTACAGCAGTTACGAAGGACGTATCGATACTTCAAAGATTATCGACAGGTGAGCGTGATAAATGCACTCACTCACGCACGCACAACACACACACGCGCGCACGGGCGACGACCGAGCGTTGCAGTGGCACAAAGGAGACTTGGTTCAATTCAATTCAGCAGCAAGACGAGGGGGACTGGGAGATTCTCTTAGAAACAAGCTTTCCGGTGTGGGGAGGGGGGGGCGAATTGAATTGAAAAGGGAAGCTGTCCCTATTACTTCGCCCTTTTAAGACTGATCAAAGTCAATTTCAAACCATTTTTGCCGTTGTAACATGAACCAGCTCTGTGTTTCTTTGATCGTTTTCCTTTTTATTCAGCGTGCGTATGTGTTTTCTCTTCCCCCCCCCCACCCACCCCCCTCTCTCTCTCTCCCCAGATGATAATTGAGCCCACCAGTCAAAAGCTCCTGCCAGACCCCCTTAAAGAGCCCTATTACCAGCCACCGTACACTGTTGTGTTAGAGCTAACAGATGTGTTGCTGCACCCAGAGTGGTCGGTAAGTCCTGCAAGCACCTGGCACTACACAAGCCAAGCATCTCCAGACAGTGCCTGGCTTCCCCCCACTGAGGTTAGCCGGAGCATTGATGGTGGTTTGCGAAGATAACTCCGAAAAGAGTCCAGGAGTGTAGTGGTTAGTTTGATTCCCAGCCGTGCGGGTCAGGGCGAAACCTGAGGCAAGTTTCCTTACTCCACACCGTTGTTTGTCGATTGGGGAATCGCTTTTCTGAGGGTAATAATCCCTTCACATTTTTATAAACAATAATAGCGATTTGGTCACTCAATCCACGACTGTTTGCGGTGCGCAACCGGCTGCCGCTTTTCACCCACAAAATACACAGTCAATTCACTTTACGGTATATTCTGCGATGCACTTCGAGACGTCTTGAAGACGTGATAAGACTCTGTATCAAATGCAAGGAGTGAGTGCGTGCGTGCGTGCGAGCGTGAGTGAGAGTCTCCTGTTGAAGAAGGTTAAATCAAGGTCCCTTCTGTTGGCTCAGGTGGTCATAAACTGTGCAGCACCAAACCAGACCTCATTTGGCTCATCCAGTCCATGATATCCTCCACATGACCATCTTTCTGCCCACGCCACCCCCACCCCCCCCCCCACACACACACACACACAAACACACTCGTCCCCTGAAGCTCTGTCACTCTCCCTCAATCCCTCCAATTTGGCCCCTCAATCCCTCCCCACTTTCAAATCCCGGTCACCTCCCTCTCCCCCGACTCGGGTCAGACTCCGCCACTGTCAAGCGCTCCGGGACCCTACCCCTTGTGAAGGGGCGCTGTGTAAGTGCAAGTTGCTGTGGTGGTGATGATAATCCTTCGTATATTCCGGGAATCCTCCCACTCGGCCCCTGTTAATCCTGATATGGCGCTATGTCAAATTGCATTTGATATCATTATCATGAAGTCATTTCATCTTAAATTTAAGATTGCGCAAAAACCTTCGGGAATTTCTTCAAGTGTGAGTGTGTGTGTGTGTGTGTTTTTTTATTCTTAAGAATTTTCCACAGTTGCGTCATCTTAGATTTTAAGACGCACCTTTTAGGCTTTCCGGTAAAGCCGGGGTGGTGTCTCTCACTGACACCCGCACCTGTTGACGGACGGACGGACGGTGATGTAAGCAACTTGCTGCGCAGCAGGTGGCTGGAAGCGCTTGTAACTTCCCATCTGGTACTCCTCAGAGGCTGTGTCTCCTGTGGTATGTGTTACAGGATATCACCACTGTCTAATGGTATCTCAATGAAAGCATTTGCCTCCCAGGCAGGCTGGATGGTCCTTTGTGGAGAGGCTTGCTGGCTACAGTGGTTTGCTTTGGAGATGCCGTTGAGCCTGTTTTGATCCTTCATTCCCTGCAGATGATCGCGTCACGTGGCTTCAGGCAGCGCTGTTGCAGTCGCAAGGATCTTGTTTGTATGAGCTGTGGAAGGAGCGATCAGATAATCTTCCCCCCACCACCCACCCACCCGACCACCACCCCTGCCCTTCACCCCTCCTGACCCCCCAACTCCCAGCTCGAGCCCAAAGACCCCCTCACTGTCCAGCGCTCTGGGATGTGTTTCCGACGTGAAGACCCCGGCTATTCAAGTGTATTCAAGTTTGTTGTTGTTGTTTAAAAGATTCTGTGCCAATGCCACGTTATAACGTGGTACACCATAGCATACTGGTCAGCACCCTCGCCTCGTGAGCCAGAGGATGCACGTACTCGCACACGCATTACACTGCACACAAGACACACGCACGCACAAGACACACACGTGCGCGCGCATGCGCAATAGGAGGGAAAAATTTCCAAGCCGAAATGTTTGCAGCCAACGCAGAACAACAGCAAGAAAGGAACAGCCCAAAGTCAGGTCCAACATGACAAAGCTGGCTGAGTGCCAGAATTACCAGGTTACCGGGTTTGTTTCGAATCTGCTCATGAGTCTCGCCGAAGTTCTCATAACAGACGTGTCGCCTTCGTGAATAATTTAAATAAATCATTGTCATTTTTGACCTCCTTTCCCCTCTCCCACTGTACAACTAATCATTATAATAATCCTGGCATTTGATACAGCGCCTGATCGCGTCATCGAGGCGTCTCCAAGGGCTTCTACAGAATATACTGTAAAAGTGAAGTGACTGTGCATTTTGTGGGAGAAACGCGGCAGCCAGTTGAGCACAGCAGCGACCCACAAACAGTTGTGGATTGAGTGACCAATTGCTATTATTTTTTTTTAAATTTGAAGGGATTATTACCTCCAGATAAGCGATTCGCCAATCGATTTAACAACTGGGTTGCTGCCGGGTATACAGCGGGGTACACGTGGATTGAGAAAACTTGCCTCGGGTTTTGCCCTGGCGGGAATCGAACCCGGGTACCTCTCGCTTGCGAGGCGAGTACTCTTAACCAACACCCTACAGGACTTTGTAGGCAAACGCGGGGGCCAATTTGCACGCAGCAGCGTCCCACAACCCGCCGTGGAGTGAGCGACCAATTTTATTTTGAGGGATTGTTGGCCTGGACACCGGGAGAGAGAGAGAGAGAGAGAGGGGGAAAAACTTCCTTCTCTTTTCGAATGGCGTTGAGGGATCTTTAACGTCCAACCGAACAGGCAGACGGGGAGCTCGGTTTAACATCTCATCCGAAAATAAAGGAAGAACCTCCAACGCGGCGACTTTGACTGAAATTGCCCTTTTTCCTCTCAAGCTAGTGACGGGTTGGCGGTTTAAGAAGAGGCCTGGTATAGATTACCTCTTCCAGCAGCTGGCTCCGCTGTACGAAATAGTTATCTTCACCACAGAGACGGGAATGGTGAGTAATCGCACACGTCCTAACCGTCCTTTTTTTTAACCCATGTAATAATAGTAATAATCCTTGCATTTGATCCATTGCCTTTCACGTCGAACAACATCATCATCGAAAGCAGCGCCTTTCGTGTCGGGAGGACGTCTCACGGCGCTGGACAGTCGGTGTTTCGGACCCGAGCTGGGGGGTTCGGGGTCGGGGAGTGTGGAGGGCGGACGGGGGGGGAAGGAGGGCGATCGAAGGCACGGTTGAAGAGGAGGGTCTTGAGATGGGGTCTTGAAGGAGGCGAGGCTGAGGATAAGGAAGGGGGCAAGGCGGAGGGTTTGAGGGAGAGAGTGACAAGAATTTCGGGGTGTAGTGGCTGAGAGCGTGGCCACCGATGGTGGAGCGGAGGTCACGAGGGACAAACAGGAGGCCGGAGTGACAGCGGATAGTGGGTCAGGGAGCGAGCTGGGAGGAGGGTGCCAGGAGGTAGATAGGTGGCAAAGTGTAGCGTAGGTGAGAGTCGACGGCCTTTCTGATGAATCTGCATTTCGGTTGGAAGCAGAAATAATAGCACCTGAAACAGACTTGTCACAACATATCTGAGCTTTATGTTTCCAGTTGAGCCAACCCCTCGACTGGGAATGTCTCACTGCCAATGCTCGTTGGGTAGATGATGGGACATATGTCTTAAGGGGACAGTAACAGAACTCCTGCACGTGTCCCAGCATGTTCCTGCCTGCCTCGGGGCTCTCTCTCTCTTTCTCTCTCTCAACAATTAAGATGTTTTATTTTCGGTGCGGGGAGGGGGAAGGAGTAGACGGCTCTTTCGTTCTATTGTGGAGGACGACTGAAACGGGATCTCGGGCAGCCGTCCATTCTTTTTTGGGGTGGGGGGGTGTCTGACACACGCGGAAACCCATCACCGTCCTTAAGAGTCTCCAAACCCAACTGAGAATTCCAGGCATCCCATCCCATCCCACCTACACATTGAAATCCCAGAGATAGATTGTTGGAATGGAATGTGCTCTCTCTCCCTCTCTCCCTCCCTCCCTGGAGGGGCACCCCCCGGTTACCTAATTCCGGAGAGTATTAGGTGCAGGTTGGCAAGAGCCAAGGCTTGGGGTGGTGGGGTAACTGCTGGAGTCTAACCAGCTAAACTCACACGTAGCTTGGCCATTGAGAGAAAGCCCTGTCTGGCGAGCTTTCCAGCTGTTTTTCCAGCTAGGACCACCCTACCATTAGTTAGGGCTTTGGCTGGGAATGCTTGGGGGGGTTTCAGCAGGATGGGGGGGGGGCATGTTAATGTTTTGTAAGGGCTTTAAGGACATTAAAATGGGGAAAAATGGTTCCAAAAAGCTAGTGAGAATCTGGAACTCTCTCCCTCCCCCCCCAAAAGGCTGTGGATTATGACTGGATCCATTCACATTGTCCAGACTGAGGGGTGGGTAGATGTTTGTGAAGTCAGGGGATCAAGGGATACGGGGCAAAGGCGGGTAATTGGAGTTGAGGTACAGATGAGCCACGATCTTATAGAGCGTCACAATAAAAGTTGCTCAATATTCGGAGAGAAGTTTCAACCCCGAGGCTGCGAAAACTAACTAACCGCTCGTCATGTTTTTGTCGCAGACCGCGTACCCCCTCATTGACAGCGTTGATCCACACGGCTTCATCATGTACCGTCTGTTCCGGGACGCAACGCGCTACATGGAAGGCCACCACGTCAAGGTATTTGTACAAAGGGGTTTTTAATGAGTCGTGGAGTCCTGTAGAGTAGTAATTCTCCACACACGCGCGCGCCTTTGTTTATCCGGCAATAAGTGGGAAGGGCGGATCACTTTCCGGGCGAAATAAATAAATTGCTCACGCATCCCACGAGTGTTTGTGGGGACGTCACTGTGCGTAATTCGCTGGCGCGCTTTGCTCGCAAAACACACAGTCGCCACACACTTTTACAGTGCATTCCGTGAAGCGCTTTGAGACGTCTCAACGACGTTATAAGGCGCTGTGTCAAAAAAAAAAAAAGCCAGGGTTGTCATCGCCAATAATCAGTGGTAAATCGAGGATGGGAGAATTGTTGTTGAATTCTATCGGTCCCGTTGCTGATCCTGTCACAGACGCTCTGGGGCGCTATCCTGCGTGAGGGGAGCCCCTTAGCGTCGTGGTTAGCTCGCTCGCTTCGCAAGCAAGAGGACCCGCACTCCATACCCTGCGTCTCGGAACAGCTTAGATCCTGACTTTGCCTTCGCTCCGTCCGGGCTGTCGCGTGAAACTTGCGTCCAGTGTAAACTTTGTCCCCAGCTGACGAAGGGTTACAGAAAGTCCACGGCAAGCCCCAGTCCCATCTGTCTGATGCCATCCCATCGCCTTCGATCCTCCAATCAATACCTTCCGCACAATATTTACAAAGCAGAGGTTTGAGGGTGGACGAGGCGGGGGGTGGGGGAGAGAGTTGGAAGCGTGTCGTCCTGTGTTCTGTCATCCGAGCTGCTCTGAAATGAAGGCACTTCTACAATAGTATGCGGGGCTGGGCATTACTGCAAGCCTTCTGCCTGGCCTGGCCTGGCCTGCTACCTCCCATCTGTTGTCCTCCCGACACCCAGGGAGTCTTTCACAGTGCAAAGCATCCCCTTGGGGGGCTTCTCGAGCAAGACGACTGGCTTTTTTTTTATACAGGGGCAGCAGCAGGAACAGACCTGCTGTGCAGTTAAGATTACGATGGTTTAAAGACCGCTGGTACTATAAGCACAATGTTACACACTGATTCCCCCAAGGACCTCTTCATTTCCAGATGAAAGGCACGGGATGTTATAGCCACAAGTGCTTAATTAGACATCAGCGAGCTCCACAGCGCAGAAGTGTGTGTGTGTGTGTGTCGTCTTTAGCAAAGTCTCCCTTCCCCTCCCCATCTCTTTCAGGCTCGGAAATGCTGAGGATTGATTTTTGTTTCTTTCCTTTCAGTTTAATTTCTCTTCTATAATTTTTTTTTTCCCCTTTGGGCGTCTCTTGTTTATTTTTCTCCGTTCCTCCCGCCCTTCCCCTCCCCTCCCCTCCTTCCTCAAAACAGAAAAAGAAGAAATAATAGTAATAATAATGATAATTCGGTCACCACTGGTTGTGGGACACTGCCGTGTTTCGCCCACAAAATACTACAGTCACTACACTTAACAGTGTGTCCTGTGAAGCGCTTTGAGACGTCTCGAAGACGTGACAAGGCGCTTTGTCAAATGCCAGGGTTATAATTATTAAATCGTTAAATTTTAAATCAGACTAATTAAAACTAACGTTAATTAGTTTTAATTAAATTACATCTGCAAACCGTGAGGTCAGTTCGTCTCAATTGGGAGGCGAATGATAATATTGATCCTCGGATTCGATACAGCGCCTTTCGTGTCGGGAGCCCGCCTCGAAGCGCTTCACAGGATTCGCTGCAAACTGTAGTGACTTGTGTATTTGTGGGCGAAACGCAGCAGCCAACTCGCAGCCAGCAACGTCCCGGCCACGGACCAAGTGACAAATGCACAGGATTTTTAGCGGCACTACTACCCTTCACAGTGTAAAGCTTCTTTGGTGTGACAGGACCTGTATCAAATGCAAGGATTATTATTATTATTATTATTATTAACGGTTGAGATCAGTACCTCAGAATTTCCTTCCTAACTCGCCACTTGAGTCGCTTGGTAGCGATCCCCAAAGGACAATCAAATGATGAGCTGTTTAACTACAGGGGACCATTTATGTCCAGGACACGTTTGCCCCCCCTCCTGAGGTGACCGTAAGCTCAAGGAAGGTCTTCAGGCCCGACTTGAAGATGGGGAAAGAGAGGGCAAGGCGGAGCGGGCGGGGGGGGTGGGGGGGGTGATAGAGGAAGAGTGTTTTGGGGCGCAGTGGCTGAAAACACATCCGCCGATGGTGGAGTGGAGGGCACGAGGGACGAGCCGGAGGCCAGAGACGGAAGCGGGGGGTAGTGTTGGTGTGTTGGGGTCGGAGAGGTAGGGAGGTGACAGGACATAGATTCAGGCAATCATTTGACGGAGATCACAGCCTTGAAATCCCTCTCCTGAATCCACTGCTGAGATTTTTCCCTTCAAAGCTGGGCTGCGGAGTTTGTGAGAGGTGTTCCTATCCCCCCACCCCCCCAACCCCCTACCCTCTTGTTTTGTTTTGGGTCCTTGAATGGTCAGTGCACTCATTCCGTCCTTAATGTTATATGACAACTGCACTGAAGGATTAGCGAGCACCGCAGGGTTATCAATGCTTCTTTTAACAGTCGTTTCTACTTGACGCAGCAGTAAATACCTCCGGAAAGGTTTCTGGTAAAATTAAAAAAATAGGGGGTGGGGGCTGTTTCAAGGGGTGTTTGAAAATAGAGAGACTGAGAGAGGGAGAGACTTGAGAGAGAAGGGAGAGACTGAGAGGTGGGGTGGGGGGGAGAGAGAGAGAGAGAGACTGAGGGTGGGGGTGGGGGGGAGGCAGAGAGAGACTGAGCGAGTGGGGGAGAGCGACTGAGAAAGAGAGAGGTGGGGGGTGGGGGGGACAGTAAAGAAAGCTCTGCAACCCGACTTGCGAGTGTGTGAGACTAATTTTGGACCATTCGCTCCCCCTCTTAAGTCAGTGATGATCAGAAACAGGAACTTAGTTGAACTTTTTTATAATTATTATTATTATTATTATTAATAATAATAATTATTGTTGTTGCAGAGTGACATTTTGAGGGTGAATTTCGTATTTTAAAAAAAAAAATCGTCATCGTTTTTAATACTCACTGCAAAAACGCGCAGTTTCTAAGACCACAAATCAGAGTGCGGGCGCCGCGCCGGGCGCTATGCAGAGATATGCACACTGGCGGTAACCAAACCCACTTGCAGAGTGTAAAGGGGCCCCTTCACTCAGCTCTCGTATGCCACAGGTAATTTCAGCGAGGCTTTGACGCTCGCTATTCATGAATCACAGCAGTTAATGTCACCCTCGGCGGCAGCAGCAGCCGTTCTCGTTAGACGGGTGTGGGGGGGGTGGGGGGGAGGCAAGTCAATAGTGCCTCACACAGCAGCCATCACCCATCTGCTCTCCCACAGCATACCCCTCGCTCTGCTTGTCTGCATTGTCAGGCATCTGGTGAACGACCAAGCTGTCTCTCTCTCTCTCTCTGACACACGCGCACGCGCACACGCACACACACGCTCGCACTGTCAGAAGTCAACCCTCGCAGCACCGAAACCAGGGGACGCCACCGACAACCCAAACCCAATCCAGCAGGCGCTCCCCCCGCGAACTCTTGCACTAGCGATCAGCCCGGGGTTTGACACGGGTGGGGGTGGGGGGCCTGATCACGCCGTCGTCGAGACGTCTCGAAGCGCTGCACGGTCAAGTGCAGCGACTGGTGCATTTTGCGGGCGAAACCCGGCAGCCGATTGCGCACGGCTGCGTTCCCCGCAAGCAGTCGTGGATCGAGTGACCAGTTTTGGGGGTTGAGGGGGGTGGGGGGATTATTACCCCCAGAAAGCGACTAGCAAGCGGGTTCTTACAGAGGTGTGTGCGTGTGTGTCTGGGGAGTAAGGAAACTTGCCTAAGCTTTCTCCCTGACCCGACCCGCCCGGGAATGGAACCCGGTCCTCCGGCTTAGCGAAGCGAGCTACGGTCACCGCTGGGCTACGGAGCTCCGCAAACGACCCGGCGCCGCGCACCGAGCTGCGTTTCGTTTCTGAGGTCCGTTTTCCTGTTGAAACCCTGCCAGCCGCACCGCTCCGTGCCGCCCAGAACTGAACGCCCAGCGAGTTAAAATGGTGAAGGCCACTCAATAAAGTAGCTTCGAGGCCCTATCTCCGGGCGCACTTAACCAGCGTCGCTATTAAATTGTAATACATAATGTAATCTTAGTTCGAGCTTAAAAAGATGAGCCAGACAGATGCTTCTCCTCAGACGGTGCAGTGTAGTGTAAGCTGGCAGGTTACGTTTGGCTCAGGGGCGTGTTGTTTCCTTTTCTCTCTCTTTCCCCTCCCGTCGTAGTAATCCCTTCCAAAAAAAAAACGCGGCCGCTCGATCCACGACCGTTGTTGGGGGGACGCTGCTGCGCACGATCGGCTGTCGCATTTCACCCGCAATTTATTTATTATCACGCGAGGCGCTTTTGAGACGTCTCGACGACGTGATCAGGCGCCGGGTCAAATGCAAGGATTATTATTATTAAAGTGTTGATTAAGCAATTTATACAATAATGTTTTTAATAACAGCGCCAATGTTAACAATAATACTCATAAAAATAATCATTGCACTCGACGTGCTCTTAACCGCTGAGCTGCGAGACGCCATAGTGTAGTGACTGTGGTCGTAGTCAATCCCGTAGTCAATCAGGAAGCGGATCACCAATTTGTCCGGGGGATTGTCAGCCACCGCACCAGAGGGAAACTCCCTTCGCTTTACCAGTAGTATTGCGGGATCTTTGATAACATCCACCTGAACAGGCACAGGCAAGAGCCGGGTTTAACTTCTCCAAAGGAAGGACGGTGACTCCCAAAACGTAACGCTTTTGCCAGAAATCAGAAGTTTCCCTGAATAAGCCGTGCGCATAACTATGTATTTATTTATTTATTGGGTGTATCCTTTCTCTCCCCCCCCCCCCCCTTTCTTTTAAACCCTGCTCCTTTACCACACAGCATTCCCTGCAGTGTACCCCCGGGGGCAAGAAACAGGCCTCTTGTGACCTGCCAACTCCATCCATGTTGGGTAACTCGTAGCTCGAAGATGTGTGCAAGTTCTTGGCTGGGTGGATTGGCACCTTGCCTTGAGAGCCGGGCTGAGAATGGGACCACCGATGGTTGCTATAAAGTCCACTGCTCTGTCACTTTACGTCGCACGTCCTGTATCGGTTAGCCTGGTGTTTTATTAAAATGTAATATAATAATAATAATAATAATCCGTGCATTCGATATCGCTGCCCGATCACGTTGTTGAGACGTCTCAAAAAGCGCTTTGCGGGATAGATTGTAAAGTGTAGTGACTGTGTATCTTGCGGGCGAAAACGTGGCAGCCAATGGCGCACAGCAGCGTGCCGCCCCACACACGCGGGGAAACACTCAGCGGGGTCAGGCAGCATCTGTGGAGAAAGGAAAGTGAGTCGAAGACACTTCGTCAGAACGGACGGTGTGCAAACTGGCGTCAGGCAGTAAAGGGAGCCCAGTTCCCATTCCCTCCCTCCATCCCTCCCTCCCTCCCGCCCGCTCCCTGCCCCGCCAGCCTACGGGCTATTCCTTTAGAGCCCCGTAGAGCTTTGCAGAGGGACTGAGAGATTTAATTGTACGGTCGAACTGATGAGGAGATCTGGTGTTATGAAGAGAGGGGAGTTGACACACGAGGGTCTTCATTGCTGTTTGTTTCTGGTCAAATTATGACTGATGTGATGTCCTCAGCTCTGCTCTGCTCTGCTGCACAGATGGGTTGGCAATAATTAGATTAAACAGTCTCGGCGAGCCACGAGGCACAGATGGTGGCAGACATCTATTTAATATTAATGTTTTATTTTGCGTGGAATTCCAACTGATTCCTTCTCTTCTCTCTTTTTTGTTCCTTTTCTCTCCCCCTCTCTCTCTCTCTGCTTTTTCTCTCTCGTATATAGGATGTTTCCTGTCTAAACCGAGATCCCTCCAAAGTCATTGTTGTGGACTGCAAAAAGGAAGCCTTCAAGCTCCAGCCCTTTAACGGGATCGCACTGAAGAAATGGGACGGGAATTCGGATGACAGGACTCTGTATGAACTTGCGGCATTCCTGAAAAGTAAGGCGTCGCTCAACAGCTGGTGGCTGGCTGTGACCTGTCGGGGTTGCGGTTGGGGTTGGGGTGTGTGCGGATGTGTGTGTACGAGCGTGAGCGTGTGTGTGTGTGTGTGTGTTCACCCCCGTCCCCTTTCCCCACTGCCTCCCCCCCCCCACCCATCTGTTCGTCACAGTCGGGAGTTAGGGCTCCCTTGTGACCCTCTCCTGGGTCGAGTGAGGGATTCTAAGAGTCCGAGTTTATTTAACCCTTCAGTCCAGGTCCTGTCTCTCTTCTTTTCTTTCCTTACCCCTCCACCCACCTTCCTCTCCCACTCCCCATCCGTTCCTTCAAAGAAAAAAAACTTGGGCAAACAAGAACTCCCTTCTCGTTTGCATGACAAAAGCCACAACTGGTAAGTCGGGAGAGTTGAGTGCCGGGTGTAACACAGACATATGTGACCTAGACCTTCGGGTTGCTGATGACAATCTGGTTAGTTGGCCTTTGTGTTTACCATTGTTTCTCTCCTCCACACACCCACCCCTACCACCACCGCACGCACGCACCCACCCACCCACCCACCCCTCGTCTGAATTAAACTGGAGGGAGAAGGTCGCAAGGGCTGGAGAGAAGCTGTGAAGGGTCGTGCGTGCATGCGCGTATATGTGTGTGCACGTGTGTGTGTTATGGAGAGAGAGAGAGAGAGAGAGAGACGTACAGAGATCGTAATGTTTCTTGTGTCTTGCCCTGTAGCTTGGTTAATCGCCTGGGCCAGTTGGTCACACTGACACAGACCTCGGTGAGGGGCAAGCTTTTAACTGTACGCGTTTCGCCCGCAGAACACTCAACAGTCAATTCACTCGACGGCATATCCTGTGAAGGGCTTTGAGCAGTGGCGAAGACGGTGGTCAGGCGCTGTATCAAAAGCACGGATGATTATTATATAATACTGAATGGGGACCGATTTGAGTGTCTCTTTGTCCGCCCTCCACTCCACCTGATCCCAACCCCCAGCTCGGGTCCCAATCCCTGACTGTCCAGCGCCTTGGGAGGACGTCCTCCCGACGTTTGTAAATGGCGTGTGTTTTCCTGTTGTCGGTCGGTGGGATGGGGTGGGTACTTTGGAACGGAAAGGTGAACGGCAGCGAGGTGTTGGCACGTTTCGAGTAGTGGCCGCAGGATCCTTGACATCCACCTGAACAGGCGCAGGCAGGGAGTGAGGCTTAACGGCCCATCCGAAGGACGGCACCTCCGACAAGGCATTGGAGCGTCGGCTTAGAAAGACAGCGATAATATATTCTCAAACTCTGGAACTCTCCCTCCCTCAATCCCTCCCTCCTCGCTTTCAAAGCCCACCTAAAGACCTTCCTTTTTGACCGTGCTTACGGTCACCAGCCCCCCCCACCACTCCCAATCCCCCCTGTCCCCCCCCCCCCCCACTCCCTTGACTCGGGGTCAGACTCCGCCACCGTAAAGCGCTCCGGGAAGCTAACCCTGCGTGAAGGGCGCTGCGTACGTGCAAGTTGTCGTCGTAACAGCCGAGCTTGTTGATCACGCCGCACACGCCCCGCCGTTTGTCCCTCTAGCTGCTGGAAGGTTTACATTATTGATGGCGGATTCCGGGCGCGCTAGCGTGTGTTGTGTATAATTGTTTCTTTCGGAGGGATTAAATTGCTGGCTGGAATCCAGTTTGGAAAGAGGTAGCTAATTCAAGCAACCAGTAATTGGGCTGACAGTAGACTTCATGCTTTAGCACAAGCGGCCTTTGTGATATTTAATGAGAGTAATTTGTGGCGTTCAATAAAGCTGTACACAGATACTCTTTTTAAAAGGGATTTATCCTTTTTTTGTAACCTTTTTTCCCCCCCTTTGTGCCCGGCTTTCTTGCGACTTTCTTCCGTCCTTCCTCTCCCGAACGCCCAGGCCTCTGCTGGAAGCGTTACCGCTGGCGCCCCTCGTAATAAACAGTAATCCTCGCCTTTCGCACAGCGTCTTATCGCATTGTCGAGACGTCTCAAAGCCCTCACAGAATCAGTGAATTGACTGTATAATAAATAATCCTTGCATTAGATACAGCACCTTATCGCGTCGTTGAGACCCTTGAGTCTCAAAAGTGCTTCGCAGAATATAGCGTAGAGGGCGGTGACTGTGTATTTTGTACCCGAAACGCGGCAGCCAGTTGTGCCCAGCGGCCTCCCACAGACGGTTACGGATTGAGGGACCACGTTTTTCTGAGGCGGGTGGATTTAATACCCCGGAAACTTTCCTTACTCCGCACACACTCCTCGGTTTACCTCGCAGGATTATTATTATTATTATTATTATTCAGTGCTGGAGAGGGAAGTATTTGTTTTCTCACCCCCTCCTGTCTTGTGCCCTGCAGCGATCGCACTGAGTGGGGTGGATGACATCAGGGCAGTGCTGGAGAACTACGCCATGGAAGACGATCCGATCATAGCCTTTAAGAGGAGACAAGAGCTATTAGCACAGGTCAGTAAAGCACCTTGCACTGCTCATAGAACTACACAGCACAGGAGGAGGCCATTCGGCTCTTCGTGTAATTACCGTGTGAAAAGTGTGTGGGGGGAGGGGGGGGGGAGAAATGGGTCACTCGATCCACGACTGTTTGTGGGACGCTGCTGTGTTTCACACACAAATACACAGTCGTATTATTTTTATTATGATGTATTATAATTTCCAGTTTATCCCGTGAAGCGCTTTGAGACGTCTCAACGACGGGATAAGGCGCTGTTATCAAATACAAGGATTATTATTAATTATTATTATTTCTAATTTCTGTGCTTCTTGTGTTTCTTCCTTCCCCCACAACCCCTCGTAGGAGGAGCAACAGCGAATTGCAGATCTGTCCCAACAGAAGAAGCCTAGTCTGTCCCTCGGATCCCTAACAAGCAAACTGTGGAATCGGTCCAAATAACGTTGACGTCCACACCATCTGGTTCCCTTCGACCTGCGTTCCTGACGTGGAGAAGGCATCGGGGCCTCACGTCATCTCAAACTGTGCCGAGACCCACGCCTGCGGGCAGAAGGCGGGTGGGGAGGGGGTGTGTGTGAGCAGCTCGGCCCAGGACTCGCGTACGAAGAACTTTTGCCAACGGCGGAGCCGAGTGTTTTTTTCGAGCGGCTGATCAGTTTGGCTCCCGGTCGGGCGGCGAGGAAGAGGGGCCGAGATCGCGGCATCACTCACTTTGCAGTCGCGCCATGCTCGGAACGCCCACAAACCGAGGGGCAGGGGCGGTGGTGTGTGCGTGTGTGGGGGGGGGAGGAGGGTTGGCGTGGGGGGAGAGGGGAATTGTCCCCCCCCGCTCGGACTCTCTGGAACAAAAAAAATTCCCAATTTCTCGTCTTGGCTTGTCGTGTGTTTCACGTTTGGTAGGGTGATCCAACTGGTGGCCCGCGGGCCGCATCCGGCCCCCGGGTCGATTTCAAGTGAAGGAATGGCTCTCGTTGTTGGTGTGTGTTGGGGGGGTACAAACATAGAAATCCCGGTCTTTGCCGCCTCTCCCCGAAATGAAGCCCACAACCGAAGGCAAGTTACTTTCGGAAGGTGGGGGGGGGGGGGGGGGGGGGGGGGGGGGG